CAGAGGGCACACATTGTCCAAGCCTGTCCTGGTATGTGGCAAAACAGCTGATACACTGAGTTGCAGCCTTGTCCTGCCACTGCCCCACCTATATCAGCTCCAGCACTGGCTCTGTTGGACTCTTCCTGCTGAAAAGGTGCAACTTTTCCTTCACTCATGGGAGGAGGAAAGAAGACCATGAAATTGTTATTTAGTGATTCTGGGAGTCACCTCCCAAATGGCCCTTGAGTCTTCATTCCTATTTCTGTATCTTGTCCAAGGCCTGTTTAAGGAACATGAAGTGCAGACCCACCCTGGTCCCCTCGGTGAGCCTGTGGCTGCCGACACATGCCCACATGTGTTCCCTCTGGCCTCGTAAATCTTGGATGCCTTTCTCCACTATTTAAATTAGATGGATAGTAGGTGCACTCTGCACAGCTTACCCTTTGGCTAGGACATGGAGGGAAGCAGGTACAAAGCTCCTCAAGCAAGAGTAGGAATTGAATGTAGCTTTCCCTTTTTATTTCCCTCAGTCTTCAGTGCTCAATGAGTCTGTCCAGGTGGCCCATCCTCCTTGCTTTATTCTCTGAAAGATCATAGAAGAAAAGTGGGAAATCAGATATGTTTGCCATCCCTCCCTTTCGTATGTGCTGTCTCCAGGCAGCTTCCTCAGCTATCAGTACTCCTTCAAGTCACAGACACTTCTACTTTCCTACCTGTGGCAGCAGAGCAGTGAGGTGCCTAGGTGTCTTCATTTGTGCTGTACAGGGAACCCACATGTGCTGTATAGGGAACTCATTCCTTTATTCCCACCAAAGCACACTCAGGATTTTACACCAGCAGCATGAATATTAAATATTTCTGAAACTAATTTTTAAGTTGCTAAGCCCTTTGCTGCACTTCTGCTTTTGCCCTTAAATGCCCTTAAATACTTTGCTGATGCTAAAGTTACCAGCATTTCACCACCAAGTGTCTGATTAAAATCTTATATATAGCCATGGAGAAATCCATGTAGCCTACAGGGTTTTTTCTGTTATTTTTAAAAAGCATCCTGAAAATTAACTTAAACAGAGGAAGTAGAAGTTATTGCAGAAGTTATTGGAGTAATTACTACTGCTCCATCTTGGTTGTGGGACATTGCACACTCTGGACAAATGTCCAGAGACAATATGATTTGTCTGGACAAGTTTCTGGATGGATAAAAAATGTTCATTTAGAAGAATGAGTGATTAGTCTGAAGGACACAATGAAACATGTCTTGGGTGCAATAATTGCTTATGCAAGAAAATGCGTGGCAAACATTCTTCATTCTTACTCTCTGGAAACTTTTCAGGCCACCTGGACTTTCCTGGACATCTGCTGATTTGCCTACATGCAAGTATAAAAATCATGTTATCTTTATTTTATCTTTAAGGCTCATGGTAAGGATGTTGTAGGTAGGTGCTGAATCCAGAGGAATCTCCAGCCCAGGGGTTCTTGCCTTCCAGTTGCTGAGACCACAGAAGTCTCCCTCTCCCGTACCACGAATGCATCCACTTCTGTTCCCGTTTGTAGGGAGGGCCGGTGGGGAGGCTGAGGTCCCTGTGTGTGTCCGAGCATACATCCCCAGCACGCCTCTACCACATACACCTTAAGTGCAGATACCCAGTCCTCCTGCTCCTCTTTGCTGGTCCGGATTGGGGTTCCCAACAGAAACCCCACACCATCTGTGTCAGGTTCATAAGCTCAGCCACAGTCATGGCCCCCCAAACATCAGCATGGTCTTCAAATCCATCTGATATCCATTTCCAGACCTGGACCCTCTTACCCGGAATTATGGGTCTCCTCGATACCAACCTGGGTCGAAGCTTGCTCGTGAGGTTTACGTACACAGTCCCAGGATTAAACGCACGGGGCACACGGACCTGCAGTCCCCCCTCCTCGGCTGCTGCCACTCACACCTTCTGGCACCCGCACACAGCGCTGAAATCCGCCCCCGAGGCAGGGACGACCGCGGCGGTGGCCCGGGCTGAACCGCGGGGGTGTCTTTTAAGGCTCCGTCTCCGGGGCCGCCCCCCCGCTCCGTCGGTCGATGATGCCCGACTCCCCTACAGCCGCTCCTCACTCGCCCCGGTCCCGTCGGGAGCGGCTGCAGCGCCACCCGCGCCCGCCATGGGCTGCTCCAGCAGCGCCCGCAGCCGCCCCCAGGAGCCGCCGCCGCCGCGGGGTGAGCCGGACCGGGGTGAGCCGGGCCGGGGTGAGCCGGGCCGGGGTGAGCCGGGCCGGGGTGAGCTGGGCCGGGGTGAGCCGGACCGGGGTGAGCCGGGCCGGGGTGAGCCGGGCCGGGGAGTGCAGGCGGGTGCTGAGGGTGGGAGGCCACGGTGCTCTCAGCCGCCGGGTGGTCCCGTCCCGTCCCGTCAGCCGCGGGTGCGCGACCCGCAGAAACCCCGCGGGGCAGGAGCCCGTCGGGCTTCTCCTGGCTTTTAATTCTGCCTGAGCTGTGGATGGAACTGCGCTCCGTGAGCGATGCTTCGAAACTGCTGTTTCTTGTGAATGAATGCCTAAGTCCCCTTCCGCTCCTTTCCGCCGGCTTGTTTGTTTGTTTGTTTGTTTGTTTTTTAATTTCCAGACAGGTCCTGCTGTTGGCCGTTTCGTGTAGTAGCTATTCAACCCAGTGCCTTTCCCCCCACCCCCTTTAAAAGAATAGTGAACTAGCAATACCTGACGCCACTATCCTTCCTGAGTTTTGACAAAATCCACTCCCGACCCCGTTTGCAGCACCAGCAATGCTCCTGTGGCTTTGACTGGCTCAAGTCACAGCAAACTAATTTTGTGTGCAAGGTGTATTTGTAGGATGTTGCATAAGAATATCCTTGCTATTTAGTGGAAGTAAAATAAAACTTTGTTTCCATATTCATCACACTTAGCTCTTTGCTCCAAGGATGGTTTGGAAACACTTTCGTGTGAACCTGCACGCTACAGTTACAGATATTGGCTTATCGAGAAACATACTTCCTGAAGGCATATATATAAATGTTGTTTGCACTTAATTTTGCTGCATTTCTTTCTTATATTCTCGTGTTATAAGTACCATCTCTTGCTGTTATTTTGGCTGTAGCATCGATGTTTTCTGTAGGGGTTTATTTTCCATATGTTGTCTGGCAATGCTGTGGCTTGTGACTTCAGAGACAATATCAGGTTGTATGGGGTGAGTGTTGTCGGTGCCACCACAGAGCCAACATACCTTTGCAAACTGAGGAGCCCAGCTGAAAGTACCCTGCAGAAATCTCTTTATCCTGTGCCTGCTGTCTTGTTCACCTGGTCAATATACCAATTCCTCTGCCTTTCCATCCTCCACTGAAAGATGTTCGCACAGGAACACTGAAGGGCTCAGGGAAATAACTGAAGTAATTTATTCAGAGTATTTTAAGAATTCTGTCTAAACACCTGTTAATGTCAGGATAGGTTATGAAATGTAATAAATATATAAATTAATGTCATGGTAAGGATGAAGAGCAGTTTGTAATTACAGATGAAAGATCTCCATTAATTGGGCAGTTGCCAGCCAGATATGTTAATAATTTTAAATCTAGTTTAATAAGAAAGGACGGTTTGAAAAAAAAATTATCCAAAGTTGTTAATGTGAGAAAATGTACATTTAATGTATAAATGTATTTAAAATAAATTTAATTTTATTAAATGTATTTAATAAAAACAAAAATCTGAGGCTTTTCCAAAAGGAAAGAAAGAAGGCAAAGGGAAAAATACTGTTGCCATGGCCCACTTAAATTCCCTGTATTTGTCATTGTTTTTCCAGTTGAAATTGTCTACAGCAGGGAAAATAAAAATTATAAATTTAAAAATAAAACAAAACTAGACAGAATCCTAGAAATGTTGATTGCCACATGATGTTTATTCTTCTTGGGGATAAAGGTATTGAACAGATTACTGTGAGGATTTTTTTTCCATATTAAGGAATTCTTTGCATTTCAGATGAGAGCAGAGGAATGCTTCCAGGGTTTCCAACAGTGCAGATCTCATGTTGAATGGCAGTATTTTATAAATCCAATTTATATAAAACATCTTGATGAAGAGAAGGCTAGCTGGAAGTTACAGGGCTGATATTTATAGAAGCTGCAGGAGATTCCTAGTAATAATAGGTCTGAGGTTTGGGGGTTTTTTTACTGCTAACACCAATCAAAAACATTCTAATTTGAATGACTCATTTATTTCTGTCCATAAGTTTTAAATGCTCCTGACACCAAGCAAGGTGAAGGCATTTAGAAGTGTCCAAAGAGAGGAAAAATAAGAATGTGAAAAGATTAAGTCTCTGGTCTCTGAGCATACATTGCTTTTTTTTAATCACTGCTTAGAGTAGCTTTAGGTTAAGATTTACTTGTTGTTATTCCAATTGGGTATCTGTTTCACCTTGAGCTTCATGTTAAGAAAATGAGTGCCTGGAAGACGAGGTGTGATAGAGATCTAGAGAAGGTAATCAGGGGAAATATATTTGCTGTTTCTTGTAACACAAGAACTGTCACTCAATGAAATGACTTGCATCAAGCTTAAAACCAGCCAGAATGTGTTTTGCAGGGGGTATAAGTGGGCTGCAGCTCTCATTGCCACTGGTCATGGGGGAGGCTGAGAGTAAATGGATTGAAAAGGGGCTTGGGCAGGTTGACAGAGGAATGTCCACTGACGGATTGAAGCTCAGCCCTGTGGGTTGGGACCATCTGTCCTTTCCCTGTCCCTTGGCAGCTGTCAGAGGCTGGTGCTGCCCTTTGGGGGCTCTGTGGTCTAACATGCATAGCTGAACTTATCTCCTGTTGTTTGAGTTGTGTTATAAATAGCCATACCTATGTGGATTTGGAGGGCATGGTTGGAACTTGGATGGGTTTACAGATCTTGGGACAAATGAGATTTTATCTATGTTGTAGTCAAAGTTGCTTTCTGTCCATCTTGACAGTCCAGATTCCCAGTTCTTGCTCTTCTTCCTGCTTATCTATCCTTCCCTGTTTCTCTAGGCACATGCTGACTAGGTGACACTTGCTGGCAAGGTGTTTTGCTTGAATGCCTCAAAAGAACTGTGAAGTTACTTTAAAGCAGCAGTATTCAAGCAGCTGTTTTAAGAGCAGGAGGTATTACATTTTTTTGCTGTTCATCTATGTATGAACACGCATAGATGTGTTCATCTGTGAACAGTATCATATGATTCTGCTTACTGGCTTTGACAACGCAATCATAATTTTCTCAGAAAATAACATTTTTCCAGTTGTGTAATTATTATATAAACATTTCATACATGAATTACTAGGGTTTTCATCCTGGCATTCCTTTGAAGAAGATTAACTGCAAGATCTTGTCAAATTGAATTTAATCAGAACATTATTAAATCAGTCTGATAGGTAGGTATAGCTCATTTTGAGTCTTCAACTTTCATACTTAAATACCTGTCAGAGTAATTTTGTCAGTTCTTTATTCGTAATTTTTTTCTGCCAAAACCCATTGCTTTACTAGCCAAGTTGATGAAAGATGAAAGAAGTGGAAGTTAATTTGTTTAGGCTTCCTGTTATTGATTTTTTTATCAGACAGAGCATACTATGGATGGTAGTTTGGTATTGAAAGAGACAGACAAATTGGTTTTTGTTTTAAGAAGTGGGCACTACTCATCTTCCAGAATGAGAACATTTTCAGGGTTTTTCATTGAGCCCGCCTGGAGGCACCACCAGAATTTTCCCACGTGCAGCCCAGACCAGCAGCTCCCTCACACTCATCACATTGATCCTGTGCTTGGTTTGGGGCAGGATAAGGTGCTTCCTTGCATAGTGTTCCCTCACCTGCAAACCACCTGCACACTTCAAATACATAAGGCAAAATGTAATAGGACAGTGACCTGTAAACAGGTCAGCTCTCTTCATACAAAAATATATGATATGCTTCAAATGAAAACTTCGTTTTAGTGTAAGAGCAGCACCATCTTCTATGGGATATTTGTGGATATGTGCAGCACACTTGTGAGAGGGTATGTTCCTAGCCAGGAGGGAGCTCTTTGACAGGTAGTGCTTATGCGGTTCACTGTGGGTTTAGTTTTCATTGAGCTTACTACTCACCAATTCTCTTTTTTCTTTGTTTGCCCTTCTGCAACTAAAAGCATCATCAGGTGCAAGCACCTTGACTGCAGACAATCACGAAACCGTAGCTGACCAAACACAGTTGGACCCAGAAGAGGATGTGAGCCTTGCCTCTGAGGAGACAAACCTAGGGGAGCATCTGCCCGGAGAGGATGCTGCAGCCATGATTCTGGATGTTGAGGAGAAGACCGATTCAGTCAGTAAAAGGGAGGAGCCAGAGGGCACCGAGCCCCTGCCTGCAGGAGCAGAGGAAAGCTCTGAGCTGCCTTCTGTGTGGAGAGAGGAGGGCAATGGGCCTTCACCTGCAGCACCAGAAGATGTTGGGGCACCATCACCAGGACCAGCTGAGGACAGTGGGCTGGTAGAGGGTAGTGACAGCTCTGTAGTGGAAGTCATGGATAAAGTACATATTACTGAAGAGGACCACTTCATTGAGGGTAATATTTGTACTTTCATAAATTCAGGAGACCGAATTTTGCCTCCAGAGACATCTGTGTGGGTACTTTTGACTTTACTAAGAGCCTCACAAGAGCTTCTGGAGTCAGAATTTGGTCCTGGGAGCCTGTACTATGTGGAGCGTAGAAGAATGTGGGTGAGGAAGCCTCAGATTTACAAGTCCAAGCTGTAATAAATTTAATCAGCATTTCCAGTCATTATCTCTGCTACTTCATTTCATGTCCTTTTTGTTCTTAGCGGGTAAAATGCCCCACCATACCCCTCATTTAAAACATTGTGTCTCTGTATAGCTCAGACACATTCCTTAATATTTGCAGAGCTCAGACACATTCCTTAATATTTGCAGAGCTCTATTACTTAGTCACATGTATTAATTATAAAGCAACTTTCCCTGGGCACATAAAGTTGGAGGCTGCCTGGATGTGTAAGAAAAAGCATTTCTGATGTATGCCTGGCATATCCAGTCTGTCCTAGAGCCTTGGCTACTAGACAAGCTAAATAGAAGTAGTAGCAGAGGGACATTGGGCTGGGCTTTCAAAAATGTCTGGAGATGACTAGCGGTGGAGGAAGGCTGCATGAGGAGGCAGTGGTGTCTGAGATGGCAGATATTTCCATGTGCAGTGAGAGGGACCTTTAGTGAGAGATGTGCTTGTTCCTGAAAATTTTAGGCTATGCTCATCTTTGGGCTGGTGCCCAAATGACATGGACTGCACATGCAAGAGGTGAACACTTCACAGGAGGAGTCGAATTTCTCTTGAATTGTACAAAGTAGCTTGGTAAGGAATCAGATACATCCTGGGGGAGCTTTTTTCAGGGAACAAGCAAGCGAAGCACAAAGAGGAATATTTCTCTGCAGGGAAACATGGTATCAGCAGCCTTCCTCACTCCACATTTGCCTTGAAGAAATGCAAGATGCAGGAGAAGGACTGGTCTGTGTGAAGTCCAGAACCGCTTACACACACTACCACTAATCCTGTGGCTTTGCTCTGCATGTCTCTGAACTGGCTGTATAAATCTCACTCTTTGCATTCCGGTAGCTGAGCAGGGTGGTTGACTTACTTTGTCCTCTCCTGTGTCTCTCCACAAAAGAATTTTGAAGTTTCCTCTACATAACATGGGCATCTATCCTTAGGCATACAGCCTCATTTTATGTAATGAGTAAATGACAGGATGCTCACCTGTTAAACTCACAGTCTTGCCCAGTTGCAAACTCATTAATCACCATTTCTAAGCCTCAGGGCAGAATGCTGAAGGCAGAGCAGCACACACTGAACATTGCTCTGCCACCTCATGTCTGTGCAAACACATTTACAGTTGACTGTTTGGCTGAAGATGAGTCGTGGGGCTTTGAGCACCAAATGATGTGTGCAGGGCCAGTGAACAAGACTTTAGGAAAAAGAGTTTTGCTCCTATTACTTCCAAGCTATCTTAACTTGTGTGCATTCTCTTTCCATGAGGCATATGATGAAGAGTCTTTACATTTTTATGCTATGGTGAATAGGATACTTAGCATTTGTTGCACTTTCCTTTATGCTTCCATAGCTGTGTGAGGAAATGAATCAGGGACCAACTTCCCAGGGAAAGCACAAATTCAGCCAGACTGGCACGTTACCATGTTTTCTATTTCCGTTTTGTTCCAATTGCAAATAAAACTGCACATATATAAAATAAAATCCAGGAAAAATAATTTGAACAGAAATAGTACTCGTGATGTCTTTTGGATATAGCATCAAGGGGATTTTGTGAAAGCATAAGGAGAACTTCATGGGCATGAGGCATGCATATAGCTGGATGGGATCATCCTGTTTGTTGTCTATGGATTCATTCAGGGGGAACCTTTGTAAGGGGCATTGGAGAGCTGACAAAGCAAAATTAGGTTTACAGAAGGGAGCTGGGGCACTTGGTGCTTTTCTCAGTGGATGCTAATTTGATCTCCATGGTTACCATTCCCAGGTGAGACGGGAGAACAGGTGGAAACTGAGCTGCTCAGTGAGACAGTAAGTGGAGGGCCTGAAACAAAAGAAGAAACAGGAGAAGCTGTGGATAGTGCAGCAGCGACAGAGATGGGTACGTTGACAGAGGAGGGAAGGACCACATGGGTTATTGTTTAGGAGACAGAAAATACTGTGCTGTCCTTAATGAGCACTTCTTGTCATTCCCCTACCGGCAGGCATCTGCTTTCTGCATTTTAACATGAGAGCATCATAAATACTTTTGTTTACATTAAGAGACATTTTTGGAAGCAATCAATTGGAAGTCTTGCTTTTTACATGGGTCGTCTTTATACAATATTTGAGCCTTACCAGAGATAAATTATCCAGCTTTGGAGAGAATGCTAGACTGTGACATGCAGTCTTGGAAAATAAAAACCACTCTGCTCATTATTATTTGCGGGCTTCTTTTTGTGAGCTAAGCCTTAAAGCTGCTTTGTGATTTCCATTCTATGTCAGTCGTTTTAGATCCTCTCGTTCTTCATATCAGTTGGAACCAGCAGTGGTGCTGCGGTGAAAGCACATTGCACAACAAATGTAGTCACATGGTGGGAAGAAAAAGTCAGAGGCCAAATAAAGTGCCTTTGAAAATTCATCACACCAGTGAAGAGAAAAATTCGAGGAGATGGGATTATCCCTCTGTCAGACTTTGAAATTATGGTCACAATTCTGTCAACACAGTCTTTCTGCGAAAGTTATTTATTTTTCTTCCTCCACGTTCACTAAGAATCCCACACTCAGGTCCATCACATAAGGTAATTACATGCCCCAGAAGACAGAATTAGAATAATAGAATTATTTAAGTTGGAAAATACTTCTGAGATCATTGAGTCCAACTGTTGACCCATCACTGCCAGGTCCACCAGTAAACCATGTCCTACACCCATATGTTTTTTAAACACTTTCAGGGATGGTTCTACACCCATATGTTTTTTAAACACTTTCAGGGATGGTGATTCCACCATCACAGATTACCCTGTGGTATTGCTGAAATGTGAAAAGGGATGAGCAGGCAACACAGGCACTTCCTCTCTTCCCCTGTTGAACTTATTGTAGCTATGCTCAAAATCTCTCCGGGATAGTGAGTATTTCTGTAATTGAGGACAGCTTTAGCAGAAAGGGTAGTAGATACCTTACACCAGTGCCTTTCATGACTTCCAAATTAACTTCTTGCACCTGGGATGAGAAGTTTTTGGTTCCTTCCCAATGCTATCATACACCAGTATATGCTAGTATATGTCAGCTTTGAGCTCCCAGTAGCAAGCCAGCTTGTTCCACTTGTGCTACAAGACTAAGGAAAATGTTTTTCAGCACAAGCACTGTAGCCTGGAAGACCAGTAGGGTGATGGTCCAGCAGTTTGGTCAAGGCATAAGTGCCTTTATGACTTTGTGATTACTCAAGTAAAATTAGATCAACGGTGATAAAACAAAAAAAATTACTCAACTCCCTTTAATTTTCATATTTGGCAGTTGCTCCCCTTTATACTGCTACTTATTAAGCTAGCCTGTGAGGACAAGCAGATGTTGGCCACTGACAAGTGTGCTTTTGCATAATTTTTAGATTTATGCCATATAGCTTTGCTTATGAAGTCAAAACAATTCTATTCAATCAACTTGTTTTTAATGTCTTGCCCATATGCTTTTGCAAACAATTATCTGTCTGTGCTGAGTTCAGCAAAGCACTTGATTCTAGGAGAATCAAAGAACAGTTTAAAGAACAGCTTCCTGCTCCTGAAGAGTAAGAGAATCATAGAAAGGCCTGTATTGGAAGGGACCTTAAAGATCATCTAGTTCCAGCCCCCCTGCCATTAGATCAGGTTGCTCAGGGCACCATCCAACCTGGCCTTGAATACTTCCAGAATCCAGAAATTTCATCATGTGATAATTACAGCTTTATTGAAATACTTTCTGCATTTTCCCGCTTTGACAATATTCTCCCCAACAGTTTTGTGGGGAAGCAGAAAAAGCAGCCCTGCTTCTGTGTCTGTAATGCTTTTAAGATGATAGGAATGCATTGATGCACACAGCTCAGAGAATGGCTACGGGCAAGAGGAGAAAACAATGTTAAGAATGGAATAGCGACCATTTAAACCTGGGATGCTGTTGTGTAAGGATCTTGAAAGGATATTGAAGAACTAAAACAAGGTTCTGGGCAGGGAAACAGAATGGCTTAAGGGAATGAAAAAATTCTTACTTTGAGAGACATCAAAACCACTCAGAGCCTTGCCTCTGAGAGGGTACAACTAAGAGGATATGAGCTTTTCCTAGTGCAAAAAAATATTGCTCTAAAGATAGCTGCAATCCATCTCTGAACAAATGCTCAGTGACATGCTAAGTGTGTTGAATTAAAAAAAATCAAAACCATTAAAGGTAGTTGGTTATTTTTCATGCTACATTAGCCATCTTCATGCTAATTAACTGTCTTTGTCACAGTCAGTCACTGCAGTTGGATGTCTGTCACTCAACTTGATTCCCGTGCAAATTTCCCACCTTCCCACCCTCATGGAACACCATTATTCACTATGAGGAAGTTCCATCTTCTCATGTTCCCAATCTATCCTTGCAGAGTCTTCTGGCTGGGAAAGAAGTACTTTGAGCTTGAGTTGTCTGACACTGTGATTTCAGCCAATCATCCCCTTGGCCACTTTTTTTTTAAGTATCAAGGAAGCCAGTGAGCCTCAGAGCTTCTCAGCTGCTGATGGTTAACATCAGTAGTTTCAGGGGCTGGTTCCTCAACCATACTTTGTCACGGAATGGCTAAGGTAGAAAGGTGCCTCTGAAGCTTGTCTAGTCCTGCTCAAAGCAGGGTCAGCTGGAACAGGTTGTCCTGTTGGGTTTTGAATCCCCAAGGATGAAGATTCCATAAATTGTGGGCAGTCAATTCTCATCAGTCAATGTCCTTAGAGGAAAAAAAAAAGAAAATATTTTCTTATATTTAATACTCAGTTACTTGAATTTATGCCCTATGTCTCTTGTCCTTATTCAAGATTTAATGTCCATGAGATGCCTGCCTCTATGTCAGATATGACTGAAAGGATCTAGTGATTTCAAAAGTTGTTAAGAGAAAAGGCAGCAGGGTGGGGAGGAGAACGAGACTGTTGCAGCATAACACAGAGGTGATGTTAATGTCTGTGAGAGGAAGACAGGATGAACATGATGGGGCAAGAGGAAGCAGAGCCAGTGGCTGCTTGTGGTCATTTCAGGTTGACACAGAACATTCTTACAGATCTGGGAGAAGAACAGATACCCTCCTTCATCCTGTGATGCCTCCAGGGAACTTTCACTTTGAATTCCTGTGAGATGTTGTGAATATCAAGTTGTACCTTCAATTAATCGCTAAATTAATTTTTCCATGTGTTTCAGAGACAGCTAATAACAAGGAATAGAAGTTATGTCTCTATGAACGTCCTCTTCTTGGGCCTGCTCTTCTGTCCACACGAACATTTTAAAATTTTATTGGGTTGGGAAGATAGAAAAGCTTTTATGGATTGAGCCACAAGCTACAGACACATGAATAAAAGGCATCAGAAAAAGTTTTACATAATGTAAATATTCTTTAGTTCAAGCTGCCAAGATCTCAAGTGTTTGAAATACCTAAACTTTCACCACCGTGCCACAGAGTGCCTTCTGTACACAGTGGGATAATTTTCCAACAGCAGTATAACCATTCAGTTTTCAATTAGGATTTTTTTCCAGGTTCAGATAACTAACTTCAAGCCTTTTATACCTTCAATCAGCCTTATATAGGATAAAGAATACAGTGCAGCTTTTTTTTTTTTAAGTGACTGTATGCAGGCAATTTCTCTGAGTGCCTGGACTACCAGTGTACGGAGCTGCTCAAGTGTATAGCTTAGAGGACTTAAAGGACTGGGAGATGAAAGTGCCCATTTACCAGGCTGTAACTAAATGCAGAGGTTAGTTTTCCAGAAGATAGAAGATAACAGGGTGCATTGTGCAGGACCCAAGTGGTATGTGCTGCTCACTCCCCATTTTTAAACATAATTTTTTTGAAAGAATAGTAGTACAATATATGTGATGACTTCTGCAAAAACAGGGAGAAGAGGGCATTTTTAACTGGGTAGGATGTTTTAGTAATATAAATCCTAGAAGATAATTTCACAGCTATTAGCATTCATGGTGATTAACAACCTGTCTTTAGCTGTGTAGCTCTCTTCATATGCATTTGTGGCTTCTAAAATAGATTTCTAACAAGAGACAACTGTAAGCCTGTTCCCAAAGGAGAGGGCATCTATTATATTTCCCTGTAGAGCTGTCCTCCCGGAGAAGTACACTATCAGGGACTGTATGGGTTATTTTCCAAAATGCTAAATAATCATTTTGGAGCTGAAGCTGAATAGCAGAGCTTTCAAACAAATCTCCTGTGAAAATGGGTCCTAAATATGATTAGTGTTATGGATCAGACAGAAAGTAGAAATTTGTTCTGATGGTGAATGTTGCAAAGGGACTATATATTGTATATTGTTGAGGACTGTGTTAACAGGATGCTCTAGCATAAGGAAGTAGAACATGGAAAAAAAGTCAATTACGTAAAAAGAGCAAGCATGTCTGTTTTATTAGCTTTACTGTACAAAAGGACTTAACAAAATTTTTTACTGTCACCAGTTAATTACATAAAGCCCCTCTAAGAGCTAAATTTTGTGCTGGAGTCATCTGACTCCAGCTGACTCTGGTTTGTATCAAATAACCTAGTTGATATCCTTGGGCTATCAGCCTTTTGTGTAAGCTGATATAACTTTCTTTGTATCACTAAATCTAAGGTTTTCTGCTTTGCAGGACTCTTTTGAACTTGTCAGCTTCATTTAATGTCAGCATCATATAGGCAACACCATACACTTTTAGAACCCAAATGCATATTTACTATTTTTTTAGGGATTTTTTGCTAGGTGGAAGTTGCTTTTATTTTATTTTTATTTTTACTAGCTTTCTATAATAGAGAAGCTAAAATGAGCAGCTAAATCCATTAAAAATTTGCGAGATCTATTAAAAAAGTGAGAGTTAAAAATCCAAAGAGAGGTAGTCAAAACATGACAAAAATCCATGAGAAGCATACTATGCACTTTGGAGAGCTGAAGAGTGGGGGAGCAGGTACTGAGCAGGATGAGGACAGCCCTGGGTGATACAGGACTAGGCTGGATGTACATCCAGGGTCCAGGATGCCCCAAGAATTTCCACCTTCAGCTGCATCTCAGGGCTGATTTCCTCCTGTGAGCTGGGGATTCAGGTCAGCCACCAGCACCTGTGCCAGCATAACCCCACTCCCAAACACAGGAGATTAAAGTGGTGGAGGAGCCACGCTGACTACTTGTAAGATCACGAGTTGCAGTTTGACCAGCTATATTAAACAATTTTAAAGCATAAACCAAGAAGAGTTCTGTGACAGAGATCAGTAGTATTCACAGCAACAGAGGAGGCTGCACTTGGAAGCAAAATGTGAAGATACATGGGAGTCAAAATGACTGAGCTCACCTCAGTCACTCTTTTCTACTACTGTTGTAACAAGGAAGATGGGTGACAATATATGTTCCTACCTCACTGTTCAACTTTTTCTGGTCATTAAGCAATGCAAATAGAAAAAAGATGAATATAAACCAGTCAGTGACTCAACAGTATCAACCTTTGTCAATCATCTTCATCCTTACATATTCTATAACTACAACAGATGAAAGCTATTTTTCCTTTCTAAAAGATGAAAGATGCTTGGTACTTTGTTAAACGTGAAAATTTAAATCACCTGAAGTCTTACAATGCAGCTGCTAGATAGATGCTGAACATCTCTGCCTTGAGAAATAAAACATTCCTACCTTGAAAATTTCATTGGGGTCTACTATTCATGATCTGTAAGCTACCAAAGCATGTACTATGGATAAAGGGCCGAAATGCAGTTTATTTGCCTCTGCAAACCTGGGACATCACAGAGGTTCCCAAGGACAGAAACTGGTCTGTGTATCGAAGAGCTTTTTCATGTTAAAGGCTGGGAAAAGGTTATGCTCCAATGTCTATGTTTTTTAACACAGGCAAGCATTTTTGAAAATTGCTTTGTATTTTATCAAAAGCTGGACATCCAAGGTAGAAGTAACTACTTCATGCTGCAGGGAGAGCTGGGCAGGACACCTGATGGAACAAACCAAATTTCCAAGCTAACAAGGAAGTTCTGATAGAAATGTTTTTTTAATTACCAATAAACACAGTCCTAGAAGAGGTTAAATTTGCATCCTGTGTCAGCTCCCTGCAGGCACATATGCACCCTGTAAGATCTCAGAAGATACTTGGCCATCTGACTGGCTGGGATTGGCTCTTTCACTCAGTGAGGAGCTGCTTTCAGGTAAACACTGCAGCAAGTGCAAGTGCTTGTAGCAGGAGATTAGGGCAGGTTAAGTGCTTTAAGAGAGCAAAGTTAAACTTGGCAGTGAAGTTTATTTTTGCACTGTTTAATCTGTAGAGTATATAATCATTTGAAGAAGAAAAAGTTGTATTAAAAGAAACACCTGGTAGAACATGCATGTTTTGGTATTTCTTTACTTTCACAGAAAGAGAGGACCTGTTTTGTTGTGGTTTTTCAGTTACACTTGATGGAAACAAATTCTAAATGATGAAAATGGGATGCCACCAGCTGAATTGCAACTTCATATTTTTGCATGCTCAGTTTAGCAAACAAAAAAAGCTATGTTTAACTTGCCTCTACCTAAAACAGGTTTTATTAAATATCCATGTACTAAGTAGTTTGTATGCTAAGACCTAAGAGACAGTCATGATACCTGCTTCTCGTATCAGAGAATTACAGAGCTTAGCCTTTTTGTTTTAAACAATAGAATCAAATAATAAAAGTCTGCTTAAAAAAATAAATGTTTTATACACCTCTATGGCAGGCTGATTGTTTATGCTGAGAACTGTTATAGCTGTAAATAAGAGGTTTTTTTCAGTTATTCTAGACTTCCTGTACCAGAAGAATACGTATTTAGATCAGAGCCATTCAAGAAAGGTCTCTGATCTAAATATGTAGTCTAAAAACTACAACTGGTCTCCACCTAAAAAATTGTAAAGCTAAAAGTGAATTTTATTTCCTGACTTTTTGCACTGATAATAATGTTTTTAATGGAATCAATGTGTTCTGCCTTGTTAGCTGCACTCAGAATGCATTTTTTTCCAGGTGTTTCACTTACATTTCAGTCTCAGACTGACCCTTACTATGTAAAGCAGTGGTGTATTAACATGACTCCTACCAGGGAAGTTTCCCAAAGGAGTTCTATAAAGGGCTTACATCAGCCAAAGCACACGTCAGCACTCCAACAAAATATCAAAACTGCCATCTAGTGTTATGTTCAAGGTTGGCAAAGAGGCAGCACGGCCCAGGTAAGGCAGAGAGGTAAGAAGGGATAACCACAGCGATTACACAAGGCTGAACTTAGCTGATGTTCAAGACTGTTGAAATCAGCTGACTTATGGGAACTTGAACTATTTGTACAAATAAGTGAAATAAATTCAAACAACACAATTATATGTGAACAAAGCTGTTACAGAGAACCCTAAATATAAATTAGAAATTAAACTCCATTTCAATGGAGTTCAAAGGTAACTTCATTCAATTATATTATTCTTAATTCTTATTAATTGATAAAGTGATGCAATATCTGCTCTTTGTTTCCTAGAAAGTCATATCCATATTAGTACACTAACTCCTTCCTAACAAGTCTGACCATGTGTTTTCTTAGGAGGGATTGCTTATTGAGTCAGAGTTGTAGAGCATAAAGACATTAATAGTATAGCCAAGGAGACAGAACAAAAGCAGAAGCCAAAACTAATAAAGTTTATGTGTAGGAAGTTTATTTGCAGAAAAGTTAGGGACTTCTAAAAAGTTGTTTGGAAGTTCACTGTTGAAATAGCAAAAGCATTATTTCCCTTCTAATAAAAATAAGTATCTCCCATTTTTTCAAGGGAAAGCAAGATAATACTGTAAAATATCACACATCACAAGTATATGCTTACTGTGACAAACTCATTTGGAATGTTTTTTCTATAAAGATACAATGTATAATCTCAGTGAAAAGCAGAAACGGCCACTTCCCATCACATCCAGGAGGGTTAAATAGGGCTGACTTCCTCACAACTTTCCAACAGCCCATCTGGTGTATGCTAAAGTGATACCAGGAATGCATGAAAAATACAAAATATTCCTACTGCAACTGAAGTAACAAGATCTGGAAAGCAGAGCTGGTGAGCAGGAAGGTAAGAAACCGTGAGTGGGACACCTACAGTTTATCCAGGGATGGAAGATGATTCACACAGTGTGGCTGTGCTATTGCATGCTGGGGGATTTTCGGACAAGGCAACATCTGCATGTGCCATGGCAAGACTGACAGCAACATGGTGCTGCCAGATTGGACTCTTCTTGTGTGCTTACCATATGAAAACTATTAGCCAGGTAAAAGTACCCAAGAGGAGCATCAGTAGGCTTTATGCACAGAAATACACACACAGAACTGAAGTTTGGGGTCAGAGAGCTGAACAGACAGTATTGGGACTTGCCACGTGGCAAACCAGCGTTATGCCTTCTCCTCACTATTAGTATTACTGCTTTTGTGCTTACCAATATTAAGTGAGTGTGATAACACAAGATGGGACTAGAAATAGCTTCTGATATGCTCAGTCATGGCACTCTGGCATACAAACAACTGCCTCTGGAAGGAGCAGCCTACGAGATTCCCTCTTGCAGTACATTGGATAAAGCAGGTACACATCTCCACCATTAAAACAGTACTTTCTCCAAGATGCTGTTTATAGCTATTTTTACTTTCTACACAAAGACAGTGAAGACAGAGTGACAGTAGCATCCATACACAATTTGATGGCCATCTTCACAGAACAGAGCAAAAAAAAAGATGTTGAGGTGGACAGACTATAGCAGGAAAGAACTTCTGCTCACTTCCCTCCAAATAAACCAACTGTGCTTAGTCATGTGGCTGTGGGGAGGATGGAATCAACTCTGCCATGAGGCAGCTGACTTTCAAACAGATACTTAAAAAACACAATATCCATTGCTACTTGGTTAGAAGATCAGTAGGGATGGGATAACCTACTAGCAGCACCAGTCAGACTTCTCAATATGGCTTAATCACCCCATCAAATTGATGCTTCCGACCTTAATGGCAGCAAAAAAAGAGAGAAGAACTGTAATGCCACAATTGCTGAAATCTTCCTGACTTGGAAAATTTCATCCTTAGCTATTAGGAGAGAGATAATAAGCCTATTCTTCTGGTTCAAATTATTTCTTACTGAATAAGCAAAATGTTTTTTTTTTTTTTTGTAATGGATAATCAAAGCACAATCAGGAAAAGAAGTTTGTTCCCAGAACAGACAAGCACATTTTTGCAGTTGCAATTATATTTTATTCTCATTAAACTTTTTTTTTTTTGGATTTTCGCTTGTTTTTTTTTAAATCAAAACACAGTCAAAGTTGAATTGCTATGAAAAAAATTATGAAAAAAGTTCAGGTAGATATTAATTTACAGTTGATTAATAAAGTTAGCACTTCACTTCAGAAAAGCATAATTTTCTTATTTCTGAAATTAACTTTCTTAAACAGTTGCTTACATATGAAAAAAGTGACTTTCAACAGTAATCTATTATGTAAAGAAAGAGGTCAAGACAATTCAGAAACAAATAGAGTAAAATTCCCCAAAAGTGAAAATATGTCCTAAGCAATTCAAGTGTTCTGTTTTCTCATTTCTGTCATTTTTTCTTATTTAAAATTGTTACTTACAAATCATTCTAGTTTTCTATGTCCAGATCACAGATAGTATAACTTACGACAGTATAACTGTCATAAGCTCACCCAAACATGTACCTTAATACCTGAATATCCAGTGACCATCACAAAGTGGGCCCTGTCCTGCAATCAAGATCAGCTGATTTTAGCAGGACTCCCACAGGTTTCAGGGTTTGCTGGCAGAGAACTCACTGTAAGCTCATATTTTAGAGAATCCAAGGCCCCAGTCCGGAAGAAGGCACCTTTCCTTGGTAAATTTACTACTTTCAACTGCATGTAACTGCTGTTAGTCAACTGTAGGAATCGGATGTAAGGGAGAAGTATTAATCAAATCCAAAACTGTTGCTGTAGGATATCCAGTCTCTATTTATAGTCAGGCTGAAGCATCTTGGAGAGGTCCCTGAATGGCAATAGCTTCAATCTCAACTCGGGCACCCTGTGACGAAACGATGAAGGAACACATTAGGAATTTAATGTATCCATTTTATGAAGCAACGGGATGTACAACACAACCTTGAAAGAACAGTGATATTTGAGAGAGATTACACTTCTGACAGATTTAGCAAGGTTAAATAATATTGACAATTCACTTTACACTTACTCAAGTATCATAAGCCCTTACTTCTAGTGTTGTAGCTATCTTCCACAATAAAGAAATTTATATCTCATATTCAGATCTCTGATAATGTGTGGGAATAAGACTTATACTTAGAAAAAAAGCTTATTAGGAGTCTCCATTAAAATAATTGTGATTGAAGCTATTTCAGAATAAGAAAAGCTGTCAGAGTGCTTCAGAAGTAAGGTATTTCAGAATGGGGGTTTTTTGTAGGCAGAAAAGTGACACTTACTTTGGGCAAAGCAGCAACTTGATAGGCTGCCCTGGCTGGAAAGTTTGCCTTGAAAACTGCAATTTAAACATAAATATCCACTAATCACTGAACTTTGCTTGATAAAACACAGTTCAAAGTAATTTGTATAAAATGCAGTCAATTTGAACAGTTCAAGGCTACAAGTCTCCTGTGCCAGCTATCATTTTTCCCTTTTTGGTTTGTTTTGGTCCCTGACTGCTCTCACATCTCAACAAGCCATCATTCATCACTAAGAAGCCAGATGCAGCTGTGATCTAGTGACCAGTGATACTTGCACTCTGCTGATACTGCAGGGTCTTAACACCAGCTTGGCTGAAAGTGAAAGGTTAAATCAGAACGGTGATCTACAATTGCCAACACCAGGGAGTAGGAGATGGCTCTTTCATAGAAAGAGCAAGAGAGAGAAACAGGCCCCTGCCAGAAGAGTCATGAGCAAAGACCCCAGATTTATGCAAAGTCAACAGCAGTCCCAACTTACTCATCTCAAAGGAAAACAGAGAAAAAAATATGCCCTTGGCCTATTCCTCTGTGCCCGCTTAGATCTGGTGGTCACAGGTGTTAGAACAGGGGGTGAAGCAGAGGGAAGGGTACTGGTAAAGATATAAGAGCTGAATTTGTACAATCATAGAATAACTCAGGTTGGAGGGAACATTTAATGCTCACATAGTCATATCCACCCCCCTGCCACGGCCAGGAACATCTTTCATCAGATCAGGTTGCTCAAAGCCCTGTCCAACCTGACTTCAAACGTTTCCAAGGAGTTTACATAATTAAATGAAACTTTACTCAAAGCTGTTAATCACTGAGATAATAACTCACAATGAAAGAACAGCAACTGCTTTCTTGAACTACAGGTAGGAGGCAACATGTAACTAAGCATCCAGTTGGCCTGTTTTTACCCTGCTTAAACACACACACACCATTCCATTTTGACATGCAGAAGACTGTGTTGATTGCTCATCAGTGAAAGACTTCATTCAAGATCAGATGCTGCTACTCAATTAAAGCCAAAGGAACATAAGGAACTCCTGTGCATATTCTCTCAAATTCTTCTGCACCATATGGGTCATTGGCATCACCTATTTCAGTTTACATTCAGTTTTGTTAACCAAGCATTGTTCGTTTTTTTCCTCAAGTGGAGCAGTGTGGTTCATCTTTGTATAAAAAATGAGCCCTGTCCCATACCAATAACCCACAAATTGTTCAAAGATATAAACAGACTTTAAAGAAATGGAGACACAAAATCTAAAATTAAGCATTTGAAGGCTGCTTACAGTAGAATTATATTAGGGACAACTGAGCATCTATAGAGATAGAGGCATGGAAGATCAACCTGGAGGGATAGCAGGAGTTGATCTTCACAGGACAGTGAGTGAGTGAGATGGTAGGTCACAAATCCACAAGAAATTAGGCTGTCCTTCATCTGATGCTTGCAAATGAATTTTTTTAAAATTTCTACTGGAATTTCAAACAACATGGAACTGCATCATCTGAGTCATTCAAACACTTTGAATACCATGAATATAATTTGTTACACAAGCCATACTGGTAAAATAGAAACAAAACATCTACTTACATTGTTTATAAACATCATTAATATCACTGTAGTCCTTCATGTCTGCCATCAAAACCGTAGTCTTCACAACTGGAAATTATATAACTGCAGTTATTTTAGACCTTGGCTTTGCATACAAAAGTTGAAAAACTTTAATGCATTTCTTGCTTTTATTTCATAAAGTTCTCTTGAGTATTCTAAATATCTTGAAAAGTTTTCCAAACAGATATTGACCATCAGAGCTACAACCTAGAGAACCACCAAAAAAATCTGAGTACCTCGTATGTAAGAAAACTTCCAGGACTTGAGGCATTCCTGACCAGCTCTGAAAAAGCCAAAATCTACCAAGAGGCACAGAACTGACAAGGAAGTAAATTAAAAAAGCTGTTGTAAACCAACTGTTGGCAATAACTTATATCATATATAATATCTGTTGTGAAAAAAGTCCATAAAAAGGCCTGAAAATACAGTCTATGCTAGAATTTTTTGCCCATGATTGTCTAAGCCAGCATTAATCCTGGTTTGGCTGACTATTAGAGTCCCCCCCAAAAAAGTACTGAAAGTGTCTAGAATATTAACAGCATAGACACAAGCCTTCTTTTACCTTCTTTAGCCTAGGATGCCTAAAATGCCTGTAGTCAGGTGCAGCTCTGTCTATACCTAAGCTTTCCCAGCTGGAGTTAAAGTATTAGTACCACTGGCAGAAACTTTCAGTGAAGGGTAGTGTTCCATTGATACCCATTGCAAAGATCACTTTAAAGGTCACTTGATTTTTTTTGTATTTTAATTCAGGTAAAAACTTGTTTGCCACCATCATAGCACCACTTACCATTGCCATAGTCACAGCCTGCAGCTTTCAGGATTTCTCCCATGTTTTTTAGAGCCTATTGAAAATTGAAACAAAAATCTTTTAACTATCAGCTGGGTTATATCTATGTAAGTATGCAAATATGACTTGTAACTTGGCTGCATCCATGTTATATTGTAAGTTCACCCAGCAAAACCTCAACTGTCAAAACTGACCAAAATAAAAACCAATAAAAGTGAGCCTCTAATAAACCATAAATATTAAATCATCTATTCATTAGATGTAAATTTATGATGCAGCTCCATCTCATCCTATTGCACCTCTTTGCTTTTGGGGGAATAAATCTTTCCCCAACTCAAGCCAGGGTTTTTACCGGGGTGTGAACCTTTGTTACAAACATTGATTCTTTCTTACTTTCCTAAAAAAACACTTCCCAAATCTTCGTTTGCAAAGCCTAGCCATGACAAAAAAAACCAGATTCCTCCCCTGACCTCCAAGTTGTCCAAGCAGAAAAAAGACAGGGTTAGGATTGAACGACTTTTTCTTGCTTTTTCCTCATCTGGAGGATGTAAAATGCACTTTCTAGTCTTCTCAATTTCTCACAAGTCCACATTTAACTAAACACATGCCAATCCCAGTACAAGTTCATTGCTAGAAGACTTCTTACCTGCTTAGCTTCCTCCTTTGCCCCTCCAGAGACAAGCTGCCCGGTGGAAGGTTCTAAGCCTATCTGTCCTGCAATGTACATTGTCCGGTCCACCAGCACAGCTTGGCTGAAAACACAAGTCACACTGTAGGTTTAATGCTTCCCCAGGAAAACATCCAAGTATCTGAAAGCACATCTCAAATTTTCTACAGCAGTTTACAATATCTCAGAAAGGAGACTGAGGTTATGCACACACAAGTTTGTACACACAGTCATACACTCAATAGGTGTATGCTTTTGGAAGTGCTGGGGTTAGGCCATCTATGGAATTGCACAGACCTGTTTTTGAGGAAATAAACCCCATTTCTTGGTTCAGAGTATGAGTGCAGCAACACAACACTAAACTGACCTACAGATTCCACACTGCAGATAGCACAGAAGCAAGGCAGAGTAAATAGACATTTTTTTGCACACGTCCAGATAAATATTCCATCCTAGTTTGAGAAGCAGACAATACCTTTTATCTACATCTCAGCTGCAGAGCGATGAGGGGAATGAAGGGAAAAAAAAAATGAGGGGAATGAAGGGAAAAAAAACCCACAAAATAAAGAAAAATCAAAAGAGGGCTCATTAGAAAATTTAAGAGTTTTCCTCTCAAACAGGCACCACAGTAACGAGTTACAGCTGTGAGGTGACACCCCACCCGGTGGTTGTTTAGCAGTCTTCCTGTATAGTCATGAATTTGGGCAGTCAGCAAAACACCTTGATCACTCCATCCCCAGAACAATCACGCTCCTTTCACCAAATAACCTGAGTGACCTGTCGGCTGGTTAATTCAGAAGAATGCAGAATTAAAGCTGGTTGCAAAACATTTTTATATAAATGTCAGGTGTGTTTTTGCTGAAGTAGAATTAGCAATTATTAATGCCTTTAGCTGTCACAAAGAGATTAAAAGATTAAAACAAAGATTTAAACTACCTAGCAAACATTATGCAAGAAACATAATTTAATTCTCTTCAGCTAGTAATTAAAAATATTTTGCAAAGGAACTAGAGAAAGATTTTTTGAAAGTGTTTGTGGCGTGTCAATACTGTTTTTCTTACCTCTTCCACTCCACTAGAAAATGCATTGTTTTAACCATTCAACAAGTCTCTCAAGCTACATAAACTACTCAGCACCTCCCTTAGGTATCTGAAGGAGTTTAGCTTCCCTTAAATGTCAGTAGAAATAGAAATTGACACTTTCAAAGTACATTTTTATGACATCTCTTCTCTCAATTGAGATTGACTCAGTTGGATTGTCTCAATCCAACCTCACAGGTGACACAGCTGATTTAGGGACTCAGTAAAATGAGTCAGGCAGTTCAAACAGGGCCATCATTCCCATCTTTCCTTTTATCCCTGTCCTACATTCTCCTGTAATTTCATAAGGGGAAAAAACAGCCAGTAACTTATTGGATGTGGTAAAATATCTTACGTGATAACTGTTTTTTCTGTCATCAACTAACAAAACTGGAGTAAATCACAGAAGAACACCATTTAAAGATGAGAAACTAGTGAATAAAATAGTTTTCCAGCCGACACAGTCTTTTTCATAGAAAATATGTGCCTGTACACATACTCTTCTTTAATTTTCTTTCCTAACATGTCCTGCTTTGTTTGAGGCACAGGCCCTCAGCGCATAAACTTCTGTTCTGTTTGAAGCACAGAGAACCATGCAACAAGAAGGTATGAGCCCTCTTAAAAAAAGACATTGTCTTGTACTGCTTATCATAAAATAAATTACACGATGTTTATCTCAACAGAGGCCTTAGGAAAATCCTAAATCACAAATAACTAGGGACAAAACAAGCTGAAGCCTCCTGATAGCACTGCCAGACCAACATCTGCAACAGCCTTATTGAGTCTCCTTCTCTGCTCCTCCTCAGCTTCCTTCTCTTGGTATGCTTACTGATGGACTCCTCCATTCACTGAGACTAGTAACAACTTACCAACCAAGAGGTACAGTTCTGTGCAGTCAAATGCATGAGTGAAGCTCAGAGAAACTTCAACCACACAAACCCCAATCAGATGTACCCTGCAACTAGGGTCAATCGTAGGTACTCATCAGTCTCAGTCAGCAGAAATCTCATTGTGTGTCTAAAGTCATTCAGGCTTCAGTGTGTCTAAATGCATAACTGGATAAACACGGTGACCTTGGAAGAAAATTGTCCATCAGAGAGATGGTGTTTAAAGACAAGCACTGCAAAGTTAAACAGATCTTCTGAACACAAATGATTGTGGATTAATTCAAGAACAGTATTGCTGCAGTGTCTTTTAAAAGGTTAATAACATTAATGAGATGTATATATACACATATACATATATGTGTCTTTTTAAATATCTATCTACCTACCTATCTCAAGGTACTGGCAAATGGATGCAGTAAAGGAAATAGAAAAATACAGTAAAAATTGGTCACCAAAAAGCATATTGAATGGCTGTAGCAGGACCAGAAATGCATCCCACACATCCCAATTCTTCATTCCATATTAAGCCCACATTCCTGGGTTACCATGCTCAAACTTCACAGCAGAGATGTGGCAGTTATTTCTTGTGCAACTTCTGCTCACTGGACTTTGACAAGTTTACTGAAATCAGATAAACTAAGTTAGTGATAAACTTATTGATGTTAGACCTGTCGTACAATTAACAGGCAGCATAATAAGAAGTATTTCATCAAGAACTATCAGTAAGCACAAAATGTTGGAGTGCAGTTAATCCACAACAGAACTGGAGAACTATATTGAAGACCAGGCCAGTGTGGTGTGTGCGTGTGCAGCAGAAGAATCATCGCCTTTCCACGTCTTAGATGTTCTCCTAACGCCAAGCAGTGCTGCAGTACAATAACAGTTTATTGTTTACAGAAGTTAACCTTCATGTCATGTCTCTCGGCAAAAATACTTTGTATTTTTCACAGTCTGAAGCTCAGAAAGCTCAGGGCACAAAGTAATGGAGACAAAAATGCACCTGGAAGGCAATAAGGTACTATTGGGAATACAAAGACTGAATGCAGAATTAAAATTTCGTATAAAATGCCCTAGTATAAAAACCCCTCTGTACCTTAGCTATAAGAGTATGCTATACTGATTGAACTTTTTTTTCTCATCCCTATAGTAAAGAGAAACTCTTCTGCAAATAAAAGTGGGATTTTTCTTTTTTTTAAATTGCAGGCAGATCTGCTGCAACAACAAACTTGTGAAAACATTGAACAACATCTTACATATTTTTACAGCAGTTAGCTTTTAGACTGAAAAGCGTTTACAAACATTCAAAATAAGGAAGGATCTGCAATTCTGAGGCACTGAACTCTCCATCTGCCCAAGCTCACCCTGGATCAGGCTCAGCCTTCCCTCTCCATTGCCTCCATAGTCAGCACTCTCTGTAACTTCCCTGTGCAACACGCTTGTCTCTAGGCAAACACATTTTCCCGGAGAAGAATCATTCTTCCTCTTGCAGTTTATTTTTCATTCACTTCTTGCCACTAATTTCAGAATTATTTTCCCAAACTGACTTCTGGAGGGTCATTTTAAAACGGTTAGGGGACATCCCCCTGCATGGCACTGCAGTCCGGCTCCTACTGCAGGACTCCAGTGTCCTGGGGGTTACCAGCTCAGGGGTCCTGCCCTCACCTCAGCCCCAGGGCAGCTTGACAGACCCTACTGGGATCTGCCGAAACCCCATCAGCAAAACATGCTTCTGCTTCTCCCAAGAGACCTCTCCCTCACAGAATCACAGAATTGTTAGGGTTGGAAGGGACCTCTGGACATCATCCAGTCCAACCCCCTTGCTAAGGCTGGGTCACCTAGAGCAGGATACACAGAAACATGTCCAGGTGCGTTCTGAATATCTCTAGAGAGGGAGACTCCATGACCTCCCTGGGCAGCCTGTTCAGTGCTCTGCCACCCTCAGTGTAAACATCTTCCTCATGTTGAAGTGAAACTTCTTGTGTTTTAGTTTATGGCCATTGCTTCTTGTCCTGTCGCTGGGCATCACTAAAAAGAGTCTGGTACCATCCTCTTGGCACCTGCCTTTGAGATACTTATACGTACTGATGAGATCCCCTCTGTCTTCTCTTCTCTGTCCAGCTCCTGCAGTCTCTCCTCACAAGAGAGATGCTCCAGACCCTTCATCATCTTTGTGATCCTCTGCTGGACCCTTTCCAGTAGCTCCTTGTCTTTCTTGAACTGAGGAGCCCAGAACTAGACAAAGTACTCCAGATGTGGCCTCACTAGGGCCAAACAGAGGGGCAGGATCACCTCCCTCAACCTGCTGGCCGCACTCTTCCCATGCACCCCAGGATACCATGGACCCTCCTGGCCGCAGGGGCATTGCCAGCTCATGGTCAACCAAGACTCCCAGATCCTTCTCAGCTAAGGCATTACCTGTAGGGACCCAGTGCAGGGGCCTTGGTAGTGCTGATTATTTTCTTCACGAGCGAGGCCATAGTTGGCGCAGATGCCGCCGTCGGTGCTGCCGTCGGTACCCGCCCCTCCCCGCCTCCCTCAGGATCCCGCCGGCGCACTACCCGCCCACCGCCGCCCGCAGGGGTTTATGGGAAGTGTAGTCCCCGAAACTGCGTGAGTGGGCACGGTGCGCATGCGCCTCACGGGGCGCGTGCAGCCGCGTGTGCTGGTGGAGGTCGCGCCGGGAGCGAGCGCTGGGTCTGTGGCGGTGCCTGTGCCCGCTCCGCCCGCGGCTGCACCGCCCGCCAGCGCCTCCCGCCTCCCCCCGCTACCCAGAGGCTCGGCAGCCCCCGCCACCCAGAGGCTCGGCAGCCCCC